TAATTTTGCATCGAAATTTTGCTCGTTTTTCAGATAGAAACGCACTTGGCCTAAAACATTTGAAGGGGTGAGTGGATTTTTTTGAAAACTGGTATTTTTTTTTAAAACAATTAACACAAATAACATTATTTTTACTTAATTCAATTACTTTCCGGCGTATTCTTGACAAAATTTTGTGAAATAATTGCGTTTTTTATTGAAAAATGTTTTAAAACTCTCTAAAAGAGCATAAATTATGTCGTTTTTTATTTAGTCTGGTATATGTATTAATTTTTGGTATGTTTTTTAGCAAAAATTAAAGAAAAAACCTTGTTTTAGGCTTAAAAACGCCACTTAATGTTTGAAAAAAAGCAAAAATAACATCATTTTTGAATTACTTATGTGATTTTCCGGCTCATTTTTGTCGAAGTTTTGTGCTTTTGATTGAAAAATCTGCTAAAACGTTTGGAAAAGCAACCAGATGATTTTTCGGCTCAAAAACATGCTTAAACTCTCCAAAGAAGCAAAAGTAATTTTAGTTTTGTGATAGTTTTTACTTCATTTTCAACAAAAATTTTCAAAACAATTGAGATTCTAACTAAAAAACGTCCTAAAACGGAAAAATGGTATTATTTAAAAAAAAAATTAGCACAACCTAAAAAAGGAAAAATAACACTATTTTTGAGTAAATTTAGCGATTTGTGACAAAATTTTGTAAATTTTTAATTGAAAAACGTTCTAAAACGCCTAAAAAAACATAAAAAAGGTTATTTTCAACCCAATTTGGTAATTTTTCAATATGTTTTAACAGAATCTTACAAAAAAACGTGATGTAAACAAGCAAAATTCATTATTTTTCACTTAATTTGGTGAAATTTTGCGAAATAACTGCGTTTTTTATTTAGCCTGTTATATGTATTAATTTTTGGTATGTTTTTTAGCAAAAATTAAAGAAAAAACCTTGTTTTAGACTTAAAAACGCAACTAAATGTTTCAAAAATGCAAAAATAACATCATTTTCGAATTAATTATGTGATTTTCCGGCTTATTTTTGTCGAAGTTTTGTCCTTTTGATTGAAAAATCTGCTAAAACGTTTGGAAAAGCAACTAGATGATTTTTCAGCTCAAACACATGCTTAAATTCTCCAAAGGATCAAAAATAATTTTAATCTCGTGATAGTTTATTCATTTTTTACCTCATTTTCGATGAAAATTTTCAAAACAATTGCGATTCTGACTAAAAAACGTCCTAAAACGGAAAAAAGTATTATTTTTGAACACATTTTTTAACACAAAAGTAAAAATAACACCATTTTTGAGTAAATTTAGCGATTTGTAACGAAAAAATTTTGTAAATTTTTAATTGGAAAACGTGCTAAAACGCCCAAAAAATCATAAAAAAAAAGATAATTTTCAACCCAATTTGGTAATTTTTCAATATGTTTTAACAGAATCTTACAAAAAAACGTGATGCAAACAAGCAAAATTCATTATTTTTCACTTAATTTGGTGACTTTTTGGTATATTTTTGTCTAAATATTTCGAGATAATTCCGTCTCTTGTTGAAAAATATGGTGTTAATATGGAGAACCGTTTTCGAAAAGTCGATGGACTAGCTTCAAAATTACACCTAGTAAACAAGAAAAAAAATCTTTTAAATGAGAATGTTAATTTTCGGGACAGCATAAAGTGGACTTTTTTATATTGTGTCATTGGAATTTCATTTATTAATGTTTTGTTAAACTTGAAATATTTTTATAAAGCAATAGTTATCACAAAGTTTATATTAGAAAATAAAGCTTGTTTTTTGGTACATAACACTTTTATCAATTTTTTAATAATATAAACTAATGCATTATCGTGAATAAAGGGGTCATGTATATTTGATCGTTAAAAAAACTATAAAAAACATAATTATCTAAATTTTCTTATAACAAGGAAACAATATTCACATAGGCCTTTATATCATGTGATTTTGTTTACCAAAAACAAATTGGAAAAAAAGTATAACTCCCACTCACCCCTTCATTTATTTTTCTAGTCTTCTAGTGAAACAAACGACTGACCATTCGAAAGAAAACAAAAAACAAGGCTGCTTTCTTCATTTCTGTCAAACTGTATGGCTGTTGTTCTCTGTTGTGCCAATATTGGAATGTTCTAGATAAATAATTTTTATTACACTGCAACTGTGATCTTTTTTCTATTGTTTATGATGATCTATGTGCCAAAATTGTAACACTGTTTGTGACCTGACAGTATATATTTATCTGTAAAATGTATTATAAATCTATCTTTGTAAAAACTTGAATGTTTCTGTGATACTTGTATGTAACATACACATAATATACAATCAGAATTATTGATATTAAGTGTAGATAAATTGTCTTTATTTACAACTCTACTGTTAATGTTATATGAATGTAATAAATAACTGTATAACTTCAACCACTCTTTGTGTACTTATTTCCCGGACACACTATATAAAACAACACTGTGGCAATCTCTACCGACAATAGCCCAGATGTATCAGACCTTGATTAAAACTCAATTAAATATAATTTACAACACTATTTTATTACTAAATTAATACAAAAAAATTGTTTAAAATTTCGGTGGCCGCCATCTTTTTTGTTAACCCGGAATTTCTCCCAGTGCCTCCACTTCCAATTTCTTTCTATTTCTGTGGCAATAATTATCAATATTTGACAATAATTAACAAAAGTTTTATAATAGTCAATTATTAAATTATTAAAAAAAAATTGTTTCGGTTTGACTAAAATTCGAACGCATTTGACTTCGAGTTACATAATAATAAAATTGAAATAAAAAAAGGGGCTTATCTAGTTTTATCTAGGTTTTGTATTGTGGCATAAACCAGTTTTTGTAATTAATTATTTTTATAGTAACAATAATTATTTATTGAGTTGTTTTCGGTTTGACGAAAATTCGGCCCCGGTCGTCATTTTTTAGCTACTCAAATAGAATTTAAAAAAATTGTAGCCCATTTAGTTTTATCTAGTTTTTGTGTTATTGCAAGAGCCCAGTTCGTGTAAATGCAATGATGCAAGTTTGCGATATAATTTTTTATTTCGGTTTGATGTTCCTTCGGCCGCAGCTGCCATCTTGTGAATTTTGACAGTTGTTGACGCCAGATTTCACTTCTAGTTTGTTTTCATTCATTTCGCACTAAAAATCAATATTTTCGTCATCGGAAATGTGAAATGAGTGGTTTGTGTAGCTGATTCGGGCTTTGGAATGGCGACGCGTCGTCCCCCAAGTTCGGCCCCCATGGAGTCCGTCCCCAATTCCTCGGACCCTCTTCGTGAGCTGTTCGAGGCTTGCAAAGTTGGCGATATTTCCCGAGTCCGCAAACTGGTAACCCCCCAAACTGTGAACGCGCGAGACACCGCTGGCCGCAAATCCACTCCTCTACATTTCGCAGCTGGTGGGGCCCCAAAACCGACTTGACTTCTTTTACTTGTCTTTTACGTTTCAGGGTATGGCCGGAGAGACGTGGTGGAGTTTTTGCTATCAGCGGGGGCTTCCATCCAGGCGCGCGACGACGGGGGCCTTCACCCCTTGCACAACGCTTGCTCCTTCGGACACGCCGATGTGGTGAGACTGCTCCTGGAAGCGGGGGCTAACCCCAACACGCGCGATAATTGGAATTATACACCGCTGCATGAGGCTGCAATTAAGGGAAAAGTCGACGTTTGTATTGCGCTTCTCCAGCATGGGGCGGAGCCCGACATTACGAATTCGGAAGGAAAGACTCCTCTAGATGTCGCTGATAATTCAACAAGGGCTGTGCTTACGGGAGAGTACCGGAAGGATGAGCTTCTGGAGGCTGCACGTTGTGGCGCTGAAGACAAGCTTTTAGCACTTTTGACCCCCCTTAATGTTAATTGTCACGCTAGCGATGGACGACGGTCCACGCCATTGCATCTAGCAGCTGGGTATAATAGGAGTCGTGTCGTGCAACTACTCCTACAACATGGGGCTGATGTGCACGCCAAAGATAAAGGGTAAGTGGATTTATTGGAAATTACACGCTAGCGTGGATGGTGTTTATATCAGCCAGTGGGCTATTGCACGTTAACGTGTACTGATAGTCTCTTATTTTTATTCAAAACTAAGTTGTTTGACAACATACAGGGTGAATCAGTGATGATTTTATTTATCTGTATTATTTTTGAATGTAAAGTCAGCATTTGCTGTGACAAAATAAAAATAAGCCGAAAAAACACCAAATTATGTCAAAATTGGTAGATTTTCCTTTTTCAATCGTTTTTGAGCTAAAAATCCACTTTTTCGCAAAATTTTGTTAAACCAAGCTAAAAAAATTACGTTTTTTCGTCGTTTTTTTGGCCATTTTTTAGTAAAAACGCAATTATTTAACGAAACTTTATCAAGAATAAGACGAAAAATGAACAAAAAATTAGGTCAAAACTCTTTTTTTGAGAGTTTTGAAACGTTTATAAACTTAATTGGGTCAGAAAATCACCAAATTGAATCGAAAGTAACATAATTTTTGTCTTTTTCAAGCCTTTTTGGCACATTGTGAGTCAGAAAAACAATTATGTAGCGCAATTTTTTCAAAAATAAACCGAAAACCTTGCTNAACAAATTCAAGCATATTTTTGAGCGAAAAATCCAATTCCTTGCAAGATTTCGCTAAATCAGGCCGAAAATCACTAAAATGGGTCGAAAAATAACATTATTTTTGTTTTTTTTTGAGTGTTTTTCAACCTGAAATCTTTAAATTTGGTCAAAAATAATTTCTTTTTTGTCTGTTTTTTTGTGGGTTTCAGCACAAATTTTAAGTTTAGCACTCTAATCAGCCAGAAAATAAGTAAAAATTTGTTCGAAAATTGTTTAATTTTTGTCTTTTTTGAGCGTTTTCGCATATTTGTGAGCTAAAAATTTTATTTTGCACCGAGAAATTGTACGTTTTTCAATCAAAAACGCAATTATTTCATTATTTCATGAAATTTTGTTAAAATAAGCCAAAAAATCGCTAAATGTAGTGTATTTTCGCATTTTTCGAGAAACGCAATTATTTTGCGATATTCTAAAAAACAAGCCAAAAAATTACTAAATTAGATATTTTTTGAGAATTTTGAGGTACATTTTTAAGCGTGAAACTCAGTTTTTTTTGCGAAATTTTGGGAAAAATTCAAATTGAGTCGAGAATTATATTTATTTAAGCCTTTTCCCAGAAATTTTGTCATAAATTTGATCGAATATTGTCAGTTTGGTCTTTTTTGAGCGTTTTTGCATATATTTGAGACAAAAATTTAATTTTGCAGCAAGATATTGCACGTTTTTTAGTTAGAAACGCAATTATTTCATGAAATTTTGTCACAAAAAAGCCAAAAAAATTGCTAAATTTAGAGTTTTATCACAGTATGAGTTAGAAACACAATTATATAGCGCATTTTTTTCAAAAGTTGCTTTTTTTTTGGGCCTTTTAGTGCATTTTTGAGTCATGCCAAATTACCTAAAAATAAACCAAAAAAGTAACAAATTCAAGCAATGAGAATTTTAGCATAATTTTAAGTTTAAAACTAATTTTTTTACGAGATTTTTTGTTGTTTGAGTTAATTCTTCAATTAGAAACGCATTTATTTTGCAATATTCTAAAAAATGAGGCGAAAAATTACTAAATTAGCTTAAAAATGGTATAATTCTTGTCTTTTTGATAGTTTAGAAGCACGTTTTTAAGCTTGAAACTTAAGTTAAGTTTTTTTGCGAGATTTCGCGAAAAATCAGAATCAAAAATTATATTTATTTAAGCCTTTTTTGAAAGTTTTAGTCTGTTGTGCAGTAAGAAACAATTATTTTGCAAAAATTTGTGGCAAATCAGCCAGAAAATAAGTAATTTGATCGAAAATTGTGTAAGTTTGTTTTTTTTTAGCGTTTTTGCATATTTTCGAGTCAAAACTTAATTTTGCAGCGAGATATTGCTTTTTTCAGTCAAAAACGCAATTATTTTATTATTTCATGAAATTTTATCAAAAATAAGCAAAAAAATCACTAAAAGTGTTATTTTCGCTTTTTTGAGAAACGCAATTATTTCGCGATATTCTAAAAAACAATCTAAGAAATTACTAAGTTAGGTCTTTTTTGAGAATTTAGAGGTACATTTTTAAGCTTGAAACTCAGTTTTTTTTGTGAAATTTTGGGAAAAATTCAAATTGAGTCAAAACTTATATTTTTCGAGAAATTTTGTCACAAATTTGATCGAATATTGTGTCAGTTTGGTCTTTTTTGAGCGTTTTGGTATATTTTTAAGCCAAAAATTTAATTTTGCAGCAAGATATGCACGTTTTTCAGTCAGAAGCGCAATTATTTTATGAAATTTTGTCAAAAATAAGCCAAAAAATCGCAAAAAGTTGCAAATGGTGTTATTTTTATTTTTTCTAAACGTTTAAACCAAAACTAGGGAAAAGACCGTATCGAAAATCATTAATTGGGTCGAAAATTACATTATTTAGTGTCCAAAAATAATAATTAGACAACGTCACAACCCAGAATTTGAAAATAAAAGATGAATTTAAAGCGTTTTTTAGGCAAATAAGAAAGTGGAAAAAAATAGGTATGTTGTCATTTGGAAAAACATAAAACTTTACATTTTAAAATAATTTTTAGTCAATATTTCGTCAAATTTTTTCTGTTTTGTGCTTTTTAAAGAAAAAGGAAAAATCTTATACACAATTTTAACTGTTTTGTCGATATTTTAATGTGTTATCAATTTACATAATATTTATAGTTTTCAATAGTTGCTATCTTCAACCATATACAATTGACATAAATGATGAAAAATCATTTTATAAAAAACTCATGTAGTAATTTTCTTATAAGCCCTGATGATGAAATAATAAAATTTCGAAACGTCGTCTATTTAAGGAAAAGTTTTTTATTTGTGATCCACTATATAAAAGGAAAAATCTTGTAATTTGGGGAAATCGACTTCTAATATTAATGATTCACCTCTAATTATTAAAAATTAAGGAAAAAATTTCACTTTTTAATTAAGACACAGCAATGAAACAATTCAGTCGAAAGTTTTTGCATAATAGTTGATGTTAGCGCTTTCTTTTCCAGTGGACTCGTCCCTCTACACAACGCGTGTTCATATGGCCATTTCGAAGTAACCGAAATGCTAATCAAACATGGTGCTAACGTCAACGCTAACGATCTTTGGGCTTTTACTCCCTTACACGAAGCAGCTTCAAAATCCCGTCTTGAAGTTTGTTCGTTACTCTTGAGCGAAGGTGCAGATCCAACTCAACTTAATTGTCATTCAAAATCGGCGATAGATGTTGCACCGACTCGAGAATTACAAGAACGACTATCTTGTCAGTTTTTCTCTTTATTTAAAAAAAAAAAAATGTAACGTTTTTATTACAGGTGAGTATCGAGGACATCAATTATTAGATGCATGTAAACAAGCCGACACCACCAAACTAAAAAAGTTCCTCACATCCGAAGTAGTGAATTTTAAACATCCGTATACGGGCGATACGGCGTTACATATAGCGGTGAATTCACCCTATCCTAAACGTAAACAAATCATCGAGTTGTTGATACGTAAAGGAATTCATTTGAATGAGAAAAATAAAGATTTTTTAACACCGCTTCATCTTGCTGCTGATAATTCGCATCTAGATCTTATGGAAGTGCTATTGAGACATGGTGCTAAAGTTAATGCTTTGGATGGATTGGGACAAACGGCGTTACATAGATGTACCAAAGATGATAACGTTCAAGCTTGTAGACTTTTACTTTCGTACAACGTCGATCCGTCAATTGTCTCGTTACAGGGATATACAGCGGCGCAATTAGCCGGCGAAAATGCCCAAAAACTATTCCAAGGTATTGTTTTTATCATTAGATTGGCAACATTGTTTTTGCAACAACTGACAACATTGAATTTTCCAAAAACTCGAATTCACTAAATGGAAAATATTCAAACATTGCCCCACCATATGAATTATTGATATAATATAATGCATACATCGTGATTTCTTTTTTTTTTTTATAATTACGAAATTAGTGTTTCAGCATGTGTTTGAGCTAAAATCTCGTTTTTTTTGGCTAAATTTTGCTAAACCGGAACGGGAAATCACCAAATTTGGTCGAAAATGATATTATTTTTAATTTTTGCAAGAAATTTAGTCTGTTGTGTGTAATCAAAAACACAATTATTTTGCGAAATTATATGAAAATTTTATGAMCAAATTTTTTTTTCAGTTGCACGTTTTTCAGTTACAAACTCGAATTATTTACCGAACAATTACCAAAATGTGATGTTATTACATAACGAAATATAATAAGCCAAAAAAAAAACACAATTTGGTCGAAAATTGTGTAAGTTTTGCTTTTCATTTCTCAAAAACGCTATTATTTCACGAAATTTTGTCAAAAATAATCCAAAAATCACTAAACATTGTTGAAGATGTTTTTGTCTTTTTCTAGCATTTTAGTATGTTTCTTATCATTTTTTTTTTGAATTACACGTTTTTCAGTCAAAACGTAATTATGTTACGAAATTTTGTCTTAAATAGGCTAAAAGTCACTAAATTTGGTTGATAATAATGGTGTTTTACTTACTTTTTTCGAGTGTTTTTGAAGCAAAAATTGATTTTTTTTCAGTTGCACGTTTTTCAGAAACACAATTATTCACAGAAAATTACCAAATTTTAGTGTTATTTTTATCTTTTTTAAACACTTAAACTAAAACTCACTAAAAACTCGAGAAATTTTCAAGACCGCACCCAAAAATCACTAAGTTTTAATTTTGCAATAAGTTATTGCACCGTTTTCAGTTAGAAACGCAATTATTTTATGAAATTTTGTCGAAAACATGTCAAAAAATTACGAAACTTTCTTGAAAATGCCTTGTTTGAGTTAAAATCTTTTTTCCGCTAAATTTTGCTAAACTGGAACGAGAAATCACCAAATTGGGTCGAAAATGATACTATTTTTGGTTTTTGCAAGATTTCTTTAAATCATGCTGAAAATTTGCGTTTTTCGACTCGAAATCTCTAAATTGGGTCAAAATAGTTTTTTTTTTGTCTGTTTTAGCACAATTTTAAATTCGACACTCAATTTTTTTTGCGAGATTTTGCTAAACCAGGCCAAAAAATCAACAAATTGGGTCGAAAATAATACTATTTTTGTTTTTTCGAGCGTTTGAGTTAATTTTTTATTAAGGAACGCAATTATTTTATATTGTTCTAAAAAAAAATAAGCCAAAAAATCACTTAAGTTTTTGAGCAAAAAAATTTTTTTTTCAGTCACAAACTCGAATTATTTACCGAAAAAAATTACCAAATTGTGATGTTAACGTTATGTTAATATAACGAAATATAATAAGCCCAAAAATCACATAATTTGGTCGAAAATTGTGTAATTTTTTGCCTTTCATTTCTCAAACACGCAATTATTTTACGAAATTTTGTCATAAATAAGCTAAATTCGGTTGAAAATTGTGTTGTTTTTGCATTTTTCTAGCGTTTTAGTGTGTTTTTTTTATCAAAATTTTTATAATTGCATGTTTTTTTAGTCAAAATCGCACTTTTTTATTACGAAATTTTGTCAAAAACACGCAAAAAATCACTAAATTTGGTTGGAAATGATGTTTTTTTTTACTCTTTTCTAGTACGTTTTTGAGCAAAAAATTGTTTTTTTGTACATTTTTCAGAAACTCAATTATTTATTGAAAAATTACCAAATTGTAATGTAATTTTTGTCTTTTTTAAACGCTTAAAGTAAAACCAGCTATAAATTCGAAAAATTTTACATGACCGCACCCAAAAATCACTAAATTTTAATTTTGCAATGAGTTATTGCACCGTTTCCAATTAGAAATACGAAATTTTGTCAAAAATATGTCGAAAAATCACGAAATTATACTGAAAATGCCTTTTTTGAGCGTTTTAGCACGTATTTGAGGTAAAAACTTTTTTTTCTACAAAATTTTGCTAAACCGGAAAATTGTTTTTTTAGTTTGTTGTGTAATCAAAAGCTCAATTATTTTGTGAAATTTTATGAGAAATAAACCAAAAAAATCACATAATTTGGTCGTAAATCAAATAAAATTTGAATTTTAGTGCATTTTAGTATGCTTTTGAGCATAAACATCAATTGTAATTTTTTCATGTGAAAAATTGTGTAATAGACAGACATAAAAAATGTCAAATGTCAAAATTTTTGACAGAATTTTTTCCATTTTCCCGGTATCTCATTTTTCTTGGAATTTTTCTCTGGGGCGCTAATTCTGACACACCCCATATAATATTTCTCATTGACATTGCCCCACCATATGAATTATTCATATCGAACTTTTTTATACTTTTTTTATTTGTTTTTGTCAAAATTTTATTCTCGATTGTCATTCAGTGTTGCCAACACTCTTCTTGTCATTGTTACCAACTTAATATTTTTTTTTGCAAAGACCCTCCAGCCGTGAATGGTGACGTAGAATGCCAAGTATTGGAGGCAGCGAAATCCGGTGACCTCGAACAAGTCCAAAGACTCCTCGAAACATACCCCAATACTGTCAATTGTCGCGATTTAGACGGCCGTCATTCGACTCCCCTCCATTTCGCATCCGGTTATAACCGAGTTGCTGTGGTTGAGTACCTCCTCCAACAAGGTGCCGACGTACATGCAAAAGATAAAGGGTTGAAACTCAAAATTTCACTCAATTTTAACACTGAAACGTTGTTTTTTCAGCGGTTTAGTACCATTACATAACGCTTGCTCCTACGGTCACTACGAAGTGACTGAATTGTTAGTAAAACATGGAGCTAACGTAAACGTTGCCGATTTGTGGAAATTTACACCGTTGCATGAAGCTTCAGCGAAAGGTAAATACGAAATTGTGAAGTTATTGTTGAAACATGGCGCTGATCCAACGAAAAAAAACCGAGATGGGGCAACAGCGCTTGATTTGGTGCGTGAGGGGGATCAAGACGTCGCTGATTTGTTGAGAGGGAATGCAGCGTTATTGGATGCAGCCAAAAAGGGGAATTTGGCGAGGATTCAGCGGTTAATAACCCCTGAAAATATCAACTGTCGTGATGTACAAGGGAGGAATTCGACTCCGTTACATTTGGCCGGTTGGTTACACCACCATTTCAGGGGTTTGTAACTTGATTGTGGTTTTTTTCAGCGGGTTATAACAATGTGGAAGTGGCTGAATATCTCCTGGAACATGGTGCTGATGTTAATGCCCAAGATAAGGGTGGTTTAATACCGTTACATAATGCTTCGAGTTATGGACATTTAGATATTGCTGCTTTGTTGATTAAATATAATACTGTGGTGAATGCTACCGATAAGTGGGGTTTTACACCGTTACATGAAGCGGCCCAAAAAGGCAGGACCCAATTGTGTGCCCTTCTTGTAAGTATTCCACGTGAATTTAGTGCAGTTAGTAGGACAAAATGTCAAAAACGACAAGTATCTTAAAATTTACTTGGCTGTTTCTTGCGATATTTTCAATCAAATTTTAAATCAAAAAATTGAGACATTTAGAATTTATGCCAACGGAACACATTTTTTGAAAAAAAAAATATTTCAGTTTTTTTTTTTATTCGAATTTGATATAAATATCCATATTATTTTAAAAATCGTCTACAAAAAATATTACTAACGAAATGCGAATGTTTATTTTATTTTGGTATTTAGACTGACATTTAGGCCACATTTAATATTTTTCCACTATTTTCAACGTTTTGTCGAACTCGTAGAGATTTTTTAGGATTTTATTCGTTATTTTCATTCTTACTTTTGTAAAATAATGATCCAATTTCACTTCAACTAAAGTTTAGAGGAAAACGTTACTCAAAATTTTTGAAAATATTTTGTCACTTTTAATTATTTTTGTTTATTTTTGGTGATTTTTTAATTTATTTTTAAGTCTAATGTTGACGCTTTATTTGAGCTTTTAGCTGAAATTTTAGTTTATGCTAGAAATGCATCTAAAAATTTGCATTTTTGTTATTTTTGATAACAAAATTACAATCCGTGATAAATTTTATATTAAGATTTTATTTGGTTTAATTTTTTAACAACAAAAAAAACTAACAAAAAAAAGTTTATTTGAAACAATATCTCTGAAACTAAAATTTTATTGAGCTTTTTACTCTCTCGATTACCCATTTTTAGTTTTTGGCATTATAGGAAAAAAAATTGCTGAATTTTTTATTGATTTTAGAAAAAAAAAACATTTTGAAGTTTTATTTTTGGTGATTTTAATTCATTTTTAAGTCTAATCTTGACGTCTTATTTGGGCCACCCTGTCAATTATTTGATATAAAAATCAGCTTTTTGACTTTAGTTTATCCTAGAAATGCATCTAAAAATTTGCATTTTTGTTATTTTCGACGTTTTTTCCGATATTTCGAAACCAATTTTTAATAACAAAATCGCAATCCGGGATATATTTAAATCAGGATTTTATTTGACTTAATTTTTTAAACAGAAAACTAACAAAAAAAAGTTTATTTAAAACAATATCTCTGAAACTAAAATTTTATTGATTTTTTCATTCTCTCGATTGCCTATTTTTCGTTTTTGGCATTTTTTAATGGTAAAAATGTTGTATTTGGTTTTGTAAAGGACAAAACGATAAATTTAAAATTAATACATTATTCTAAAAAATTATAGGAAAAAAATTGCTGAATTTTTTAGTGATTTTTGAAAAAAAAAACATTTAAAAGTTCTATTTTTGTTGATTTTAATTCATTTTTAAGCCTAATCTTGACGCCTTATTTGGGCCACTTTGTCAATTATTTGATAAAAAAAATCAGCTTTTTGACTTTAGTTTTTTTGGTATTTTTGGTATTTTCGACGTTTTTTTTTTGATATCAAAATTGCAATTCGTGATAAATTTTATATCAGAATTTTATTTGGCTTAATTTTTTTAAACAATAAACTAACAAAAGAAGTTCATTTAAAACAATATCTCTGAAACTAAAATTTTATTGAGCTTTTCACTCTCTCGATTGCCCATTTTTAGTTTTTGGCAATTTTTAATGGTAAATTTTGTAAAGACAAAATGATGAATTTTAAATTAATACAATATTTCAAAAAATGATAGGAACAAAAAATTTGCTAAATTTTTTAGTGATTTTTGAAAAAAAAAACATTTTAAAACTTCAAGTTTCTAGTTTTTAGGTGTTTTTACAGCTTAATAAAAACATTTTGTTTTCAGCTTTTTTACAGTTTTGTATTAGTTATTGGCTAAAGTTTAATCAAAAAACAAAAACATTTTTTTGTACTTAACAATACTGCTTAATTTTTGAAAAAAAATCAGTGTTTTTGTTTTTTTAAATTTGTAAAAAAAATTGAAGAAACTACTGATTAAATTTTGAAATGAAAATCAAAAATATTTTTTTGAAATTCGAATTTTTTTTATTTTTTCAATTTAATCAGATACACATGTATTTATTTTTTATTGCCATATGTCAATTTAAATAGCGAATTAAAATATTTAAACAGACTTTAAAGGGTAGGCACGAAAAACGGAACATCAAAAAAATTATACAAAATTCGCGTTTTGATGAATTTCCCGTTATCGAAAAATCAAACATTTGTGTTCAGTAAATTTTCCAATAAAACGGTTTTTAATTTTTTTTAATTGTAAAATTTTCTCGAAGAAAAAATAATCGAAAACCACCAAATTGGTTAAAATAGTGACAACTTATTTTTGTTTTCTTTTTAATGCTTTTTCAGCTAGAAACACAATTATTTTGCAAAATTTTGTCAAACACAAGCCACAAATTCAACAAAATAGTCCAAAAAACGGCGTTTTTTGTCTTTTCGAGAGATAAAAACACAAAGAAATATTGCATTTAAGTACGCTAAAAAGTTACAAATCGAAATTGATTAGAAATTTAGCTTTACTTAGTTTTATTTTACAAAATCTTGTTCAAATACGCCTAAAAACCACACAAAATTGATTTTTATGTTATTTTCTCAAAAAAATTATACAAAATTCGCGTTTTGATGAATTTCCCGTTATCGAAAAATCAAACATTTGTGTTCAGTAAATTTTCCATTAAAACGGTTTTTAATTTTTTTTTTTATCAAAGAAAGTGCTATATTGGTGAGTTTTCAAATAGTATTTTATGTAAAAAAACTTCTCTAATTTTAAATAATGGTTTGTTAAACAGAAACAAACTAAAACCTTAATCTTGTTGGTATTACAGTTAGCTCACGGTGCTGACCCCTTTTTGAAAAACCAAGAAGGTCAAACCCCAATGGATTTATCAAGTGCAGAAGACGTCCGTTGTCTCCTCCAAGACGCAATGGCTTCGCAACAAGGTGTCCCCACAGCGCCCCCATCACGCCCCCTTTCCGTCGTTTCTTCCAAATCACCAAGTCCATCTCTCACTTCTTGTGTTAACAACACTGAAACTGTTTTAATGCCTTCGGGGGCTTCAATTCAATTAACAATTCCAATAGGTAGTAGATCAAGTGTGGCAATAATTGAAGGTTGTTGCTCCTCATCGAAATTGGAAGGTGACGATCAAGAATTAATCGGAAATGTAACCAATATTTCAACGTTTCTTGCAAGTCTCAATTTGGAACAATTGATTGATATTTTTGAACGTGAACAAATCACGTTGGATATTTTAGCTGAAATGAATCACGAGGATTTGAAACAAATTGGAATTTCGGCGTATGGATTTAGACATAAGTTGATTAAAGGAATGGAAAGATTGATGTCGAGTTGTGAAGGATTGAGATTAATGCCTTCAAATCCGGGGACTTTGCTTATTGACCTTTTAGCAGACGATAAAGAGTTTATTACTGTTGAAGAGGAGATGCAGAATAGCATTCGGGAGCATAGGGATAATGGACATGCTGGGGGGGTTTTCAACCGATACAACATCGTTAGGGTAATTAAATGTTTTATTATTATGTTGGCAACAGTGATCGTTAAATTAAAAAAAAAAAACTCGAAAAACTACCAAATTGGTTAAAAATATTTTTTTTACAAATTTTTACTAGACGGGATCGAAAGTGACAATTTATTTTTGTCTTTTTTGAATACTTTTTCAGCTAGAAATACAATTATTTTGTTAAAAACAATCCAAAGATTCAACAAATGTTTAAGCATGTTTTCGAGATAAAAACAAAGAAAATTCTAAAAATTTCGTCGAAGTAGGCAAAAAAATTACAAAATTAAATCGAAATTAATATTATTTTTTGCTTGTTTCACTTGACTAACTTTGTTTTTCTCATTTATTTTGCAAAATCTTGTCCAAACCGGCTGAAAAATCACAAAAACACTTGATACTGATGTTATTTTGTTTATTTCGCTCGATTTAACTGGTTTTTGAGCAAAATAAAACAAAAATAAGCACGTTTTTATACTATAATCTGTTTTTTTTTGCGAGATTGGCTAAAACGAACTGAAAAATCAATAAATTAAGTCGAAAATCACATTAATTTTATATGTCTTGAACGTTTTAGCACGTTTTTTAGGCAGAAACACAATTATTTCGCGAAATTTTGATAAAAACAGGCCAAAAAACACAGAATTAGACCGAAAATGATATAATTTTTTTCTTTTTCGAAAAATTTTTAAGCTGATCTCTGTTTTTTCGCGAAAAAATTTCACGAAATTAAATTATGATATTTTTACCCAACTCTTAGGCTTTAACTTGATTAAGTCAAATTTTCTCGAAGAAAAAATCATCGAAAACCACTAAATTGGTTAAAATAGTGACAATTTATTTATTTATTATTTTTTTAAATACTTTTTCAGCTAGAAACACAATTATTTCGCAAAATTTTGTAAAAACAATCCTAAAAATCACAAAAAGATTGATTTTGGTGTTATTTTTTTGTTGGTTTTATTTGATTTTTGAGCAAAATAAGACAAAAATAAGCCGAGAAAACACAGAAGTTGGCCCAAAAAGGCACGTTTTTGTCCTAAAATCTCAGATTTTTCGGTAAATTTCGCTAAAACAAACTAAATAATGAAGAAATTAAATTTAAAATTACATTATTTTTATAAGTTTTGAATGTTTTAGCAAGTTTTTCAGCTTGAAATGCCATTATTTCGCAAAGTTTTGTTGAAAACAAGCCACAAAAACACAGAATTAAGCCGAAAATGATATAATTTTTTTCTTTTTCTAAAATTCAATCAGATTTTTAAGCTGAAAGCTCTGTTTTTTCGCGAGAGTTTGCCACAGCGTGTCAAAAATCACTAAATTGTTGAAAAAAGATTATATTATGAATGTAAATTGTTGAAAAAAGATTATATTATGATACTAACTCTTAGGCTTTTTAACTTGATTATTTCGTTAAATTTTCTCGCAGAAAAAAATTATCGAAAACCACCAAATTGGTTAAAATAGTGACAACTTATTTTTGTTTTTTTTTTAATGTTATTTCAGCTAGAAACACAATTATTTTGCAAAATTTTGTCATAAACAAGCCACAAATTCAACAAAATAGCTCAAAAAACATCGTTTTTTGTCTTTTTGAGAAATAAAAACACGAAAAATTTGAAATATTGCATTGAAGCAGGCTAAAAAATTACAAATCGAAATTAATATCATTTTTTAGCTTTACTTAGTTTTTGAACCAGAAGTTTATTTATTTTGCAAAATCTTGTCCAAATACGCCTAAAAACCACAAAAAAATTGATTTTGATGTTATTTTGTTTGTTTCATTTGATTTATCTTATTATTTATAATAAGACAAAAATAATAGCCGAAAAAAACATAAAAATATAAAACGTGCAAATATGCACGTTTTTGTAATAAAATCTCAGGTTTTTTGCTAAAACAAACTTAATAATCAAGAAATTAAGTCTAAAATTACATTATTTTTGTTTTTTCAAGCGTTTTAGCGCGTTTTTCAGTTAATTATTTCGCAAAATTTTGTTGAAAACAAGCCACAAAAACACAGAATTAAGTCGAAAATGATATAATTTTTTCCTTTTTCGAAAATTCAAGCAGATTTTTAAACTGAAAGCTCTGTTTTTTGCGATAGTTTATAGCGTATCAAAAATCACTAAATTGTTATAAAAAAAGATTATATTATGATATTTTTACCTAACTTTCAGGCTTTAACTTGATTATTTGGTCAAATTGGTCAAAAAAATAATCGAAAACTTCCAGATTGATTAAAAATAGTTCTATTTCGTTTTTACAAGATATTACTAAACAGAGTCGAAAATGACAACTTATTTTTGTTTTTTTTTTTCGAATGCTTTTTTAGCTAGAAACACAAATTTTGTCGCAAACAAACCACAAATTCAACAAAATAGTCCAAAAAACGGCGATTTTTGTCTTTTCGAGAGATAAAAACACAATATTGCATTGAAACGTACTAAAAAAAACTAAATTAAATCAAAATTTATATCATTTTTTTTTTCGCCCGACTTAATTCATTTTTGAACCAGAGGTTCATTTATTTTGCAAAATCTTTTCCAAACATACCTAAAAATCACAAAAAGATTGATTTTGGTGTTATTTTGTTGGTTTCATATGATTTTTGAGCAAAATAAGACAAAAATAAGTCGGGAGAACACAAAATTTGGAAGAAAATGCAGGTGTTTGTACTAAAATCTCAAGTTTTTCATTAGATTTCGCTAAAACAAACTAAATAATCAAGAAATTAAGTCTAAAATTACATTTTTCGAACGTTTTTCAGTGCAATTATTTCGCAAAATTTTGTCGAAAACAAGCCCAACAATCACAGAATTTAGGCCAATAGTCCGGTCAAATTAGTCATAAAAATAGTGGTCAAATAACGAAAATTCCGACAGAGCTAAATTTTGGTGGAGACCTTGGGTATACCATTAGAAATAAAGTGTCAA